CACACACCTCAATTAATAATTCTTTTTGTACTGATATGCAGCCCAATATTGAGGGTATGTCGTAAGAATAGGATATTATGTTTTCTTGGCTCTAGTGTGAGGTGAATGGCTTGACACAGAGTCGTCTTGATTTGCGGTTCTCAACCTTTGTACAATACACGTATAACCCCAAGTCAAAGATAGTTGGAAGTTCCCGGGGGCTATCCTCTCAAAGAAAAGGGAAAAAGGATACTAATCACGAATCTCGATACATCGACCTGACTTTCATGACACTGTGCTTCGTGGTTTTCTTTTTGGCCACGATTGTTCTTACTTGGTTTTCAAAGAATTACACTAAATTTTTCCCCTTCGAAAGAAACCAATTCACAGCTCCCTCTCATCTTCTGATTCATCTGTTTGAATACTGTAGGCCTACATTAAACAAATAATTAACTGAAGCTGAATTGTAGCGTACTTCCAAATACATGTATATGTTAATGTTAATTATTTATTCCAAAATAAATTGAAAGCAGAGTAGATCAAGCTACCCAAATGCCTGTCTTTATTTCCATATATTTTTAGAATGCCTCCTACATGCCGTCTTTGAAAAGAGACCCCAGCACACTGTAGGGACTTTTTTTTCTACACTTGAGCATTTGCAGTGGGTGGGGCTAAGAAATGAGGGTAAGTAAGTAAGTTTATTCAGTGAGGCCATTGGCCCACATCACATCGCACAAAACATTCATTTGATAAATAAAGTTTCCATAATGAATCGGTAAAGGTTGTGCACATATCTCTTATCATGAGTCAAACAAGAAATGAGGGTAGGTTGAGTTGAAAGGCAAGATTTTGTCGGTTCAGAAGAAATTCTAGTTATGTGTGGTGAGGGTGTTTGTGAATGCGTGTGATGGGTGTATGTCATATACACAAACTCACACGCACGCATGCAACGTAACTAGATTAGGCCGTCGCGTCACAGACAGCAAGACCTTCCAAACGAGGGGCCAGTTAATGAACGTGTTTTGTTACTGGGTCTCTGGGAAAAATGTGTTGTCTGGGCTTGCAGAGAACAAACCTTCGCGGGCTCTCTTTTGTTTCTTTTATCTTTTTACAAGAAGTGTTTCGTTAAAAAAGAAGCGTTGGAACAGGCTCATCTTTTACTGAGCCCTAAAGACATTTGATTGGCTGGTAGGTTACTGTAGATGTAAGCGGTGACAACACTGATTGAATAAAGGTGCGGAAGATTCTGAAGCAGTCTTGGGGGTTTCAACTGATTATTTCGTTTATTAGGAAACATTCATTTATGTAGGGAAAGAGTTGGCGGTGGGAGTGGTGGGGCTCACGCCCTTCAGCCGTTCACTACGTCCAGCCACTGCACTTGAGGACACCTCTTACACCAATTTATTGTTGTTAATAATGTTATAGTAAAAGGTAACCATTTGTCAAAGTAAAGAATTACTGGTATCAGTAGATTTTTCTGTTCCGAGCAAATTGATTTGTGATGATGATGATGATGATGATGATGATGATGATGATGATGATGATGATGATGATGATGATGATGATGATGATGATGATGATGATGATATCATCATCATCACCATCATTATCATCATCATTAGAAAGCAATACTAAAAGGGAAGAAGGTGGATAAATGAGGGGAATAGATGTTTGATCAAC